AAAAAAACAACATGATATTGGCACAGAAAAAGACATGATGATCAAAGGAATAGAATTGAAGACCCAGAAATAAGACCACACAGCTATGGACATGTAATTTTTTTATAAAGAAACAAAAAAATACACACTGGGGAAAAGACAGCATGTAGCACGAATCTTAAAAGGTCTTATCAATAAAATTAAACCCAGGGCCAGGTATTAGGGTGAATGCTGGAAGATCAGAGAAGCAGAACAAGCCACAGCCACCTCACCTCACCAGTTCTTTAGCTGATCCTGTTTCCTCAGACTAGAAGCCTCTGTGTCCTCATCCAAATGGACCTCAGCTGAACTGCTGCTAAAAGCCTAAAAGCTTAACCAGCTCTAGTTCCTGGTTTTCATGTCTTATATACCTTTCTGCTTTCTGCCATCACTTCCTGGGATTAAAGGTATGAGTCACCATGCTTGGCTGTTTCCAGTGTGGTTTTGAACTCACAGAGATCTGGATGGATCTCTGCCTCCCAAGTGATAGGATTAAAGGCATGTGTGCCACCATTTTCTGGTCTCTATGTCTATCTAGTGGCTGTTCTGTCCTCTGACCCCAGATAAGTTTATTAGGATGCACAATATATTGGGGGACATAATATATCACCACAACAGTATCTTTGATAAATGGTGCTGGTCAAACTGGATAGTTGCATCTAGAAGAGTGCAAATACATCCATATTTATCACCCTGCACAAAACTCAATTACAAGTGGATCAAAGACTTCAACTTAAGGCCAGATACACTGCATCTGATAGAAGAGAAAGTGAGGAATAGTTTCGAAGTCATTGCCACAGGGAAAGATTTCCTGAACAGAACACCAATAGCACAGGCACTAAGATCAACAATTTAAAAATGGGATCTCATGAAACTGAAAATCTTCTACATGGCAAAGGACACCAACATTTGGACAAAACAGCAGCCTACAGAATGGGAAAAGATTTCTACCAACTATGCATCTGACAGTGGGCTAAAATCCAAAATGTAAAAGAATTCAAAAACTCAACATCAAGAAAACAAATAACCCAATTTAAAAATTGGATACATATCTAAACAGAATTTAAAAGACAAAACTCAAATGGCTGAGAAACCCTTAAAGAAATGTTCAACATCCTTAGCCATCAGGGAATTGCAAATCAAAACTGCTTTGAAATTCCATCTCACACTAGTCAGAATGGCCAAGATCAATAAAACAAATGACAGCTCATGCTGGCAAGGATGTGGAGTAAGGGGAACACTCCTCCACTGCTGGTGGGAGTGCAAACTTGTACAACCACTGTGGAAATCAGTATGGCAGTTGCTCAGGAATTTAGGAATTGATCTACCACGAGATCCATCTATACCACCCAAAAGATATTTCATCCTACTACAAAGACCCTTGCCCAACCATGTTCATTGCTACTCTATTCATAGTAGCCAGAAATTGGGAACAACCTAGATGTCCCTCAACAGAATGGATAAATAAAATGTGTCACATTTGCACAATGGGACATTCCTCAGCTGTTAAAAAAATGAACTCATGAAATTCTCAAGTAAATGGGTGGAGCTAGAAAAAAAAAATCATCCTGAGTGAGGTAACCCAGACCCAGAAAGACAAGTACTGTATGTATTCACTTATATGTGGGTGTTAGCTGTTAAGTCATTGATAAGCAAGCTATAATCCATATAACCACAGAGGTACAGAGTAAGGGACTAGGGGGCTGGAATGGATCTCTCTAGGAAGGGGAAATAGAAAAGACAGTTATGGATGGGTGGGGGTAGGGGAACGGGAACTGGTGGATCAAAAGGGGAAGGGAAGAAAGAGGAGGCAAGAAGGGAAGATGGGGAGGGACAGCTACAACTACAAGCCATTGGAGGGGTCCTATGGGGACTTAATACAGCAGAAACTTCCTAAAATGTATACATATATAACTCCAATGTAAATGAAACCAGTAAATAACAGGGGGGAGAAAGCCCCAACCAGGCTTCTCTCATCATGAAATGAAGATTCTGGTGCTGGGAATGGGTTACATTTAATTGAGTTGTTGTCCAAAGGGGTCCCACTGAAACCCCCAAAGAACCCAGGCTATTGCCAAGGCTGTTGGTTGCTTTCCACAAACTGACAGTTAGGACACTATTGCTGAAGACATCATCTAGCAACACCTTGAACATAGAGAAGTCAAGCTGGTGCCTACCGAGATCCTTCACCCCTATGGACTAATTAATGTTCATGATGCTGAAAGGTACTCTGCATACTACCAAAGGAAAAGGTAGACATCAACTCAGCTACAACTCCTTTGATCTACAATGGCGACCTGCCTGCAATATATGCTGGTGCAATGGTGGCACAAAGCTTGTGGGAGTCACCAACCAATATCTGACTTAAGACCCACTCCGTGAGATGGAACCCATACCCAACACTGCTTCAGTAGCTAAGAACCTGAGACCAGATAGGCCAGGGACCTAGGGGAAAACCAAATACTACTGTCCTGCTAAAGGAACATAGCAATAAATGACTCCTAATGACATTCTTCTATAGTCATAGATCAATGTCTTGCTCAACCATCATCAGAGAAGCTTCCTCCTGTTAACAGACAGGAACAAATACAGAGACCCACAGCCAGACAATGTGCAGAGAGTGAGAGACCTTGGAACACTCAGCCCTAAATGGGGTCTCCATCAAATCCCTCCCCTAAAGGCTCATGGAACTCTATGGAAGAGGAGGCAGAAAGAGTATAAAAGCCAGAGGGGATGGAGGACACCAAGGAAACAAGGCCCTCTAAACAGAGCAGGACTGACATACATATGAATTCCCAGAGACTATGGAAGCATGCATGGAGTTTGCATGGGTCTGGACCAGGTAGGGTCCCAGAGCTGAGAGGAGAAATGGACACATGCCACCATCCCAAACGCAGAAGCAATCTCTAATTGATAGCCACTTACAAATGAAAAACTAGTTTTCTCCAAAGGAACCTCACTGGGGGAAACAATTCCCTCTTTTACTCTTTTTTTTTTTTTTTTTTTTTTTGGTTTTTCAAGACAAGGTTTCTCTGTGTAGCTTTATGCCTTTCCTGGAACTCACTCTGTAGCCCAGGCTGGCCTCGAACTCACAGAGATCCGCCTGCCTCTGCCTCCCGAGTGCTGGGATTAAAGGCGTGCACCACCACTGCCCGGCAACAATTCACTCTTAAGTGTAGGCCCCATGTCCAGCAATAGATGGCCAACACAAAATGAGCTCAACGCTATCGTTGGAGGTTCTTTGTCTCTTAATGTTGTGTCAAAGCTTTTATTTTATCTTGCAGTCCTTTGTGTGTGTGTATATATATATATATATGGCTTCCAATTTTGTGTTTTTATGGAATTCTTTGGTATATGAATGTGTGTCTCCATGTCTATATACATTTCTCATTCATTTTCTTGGGCTCTTTTTCTTACTTTTTTGTCTTTTTGTTTGTTTGTTTGTTTGTTTTCTTTGTCCTATTCTGACTTGTTTATTTTGGTTTTATCTTACTATTTGTTTTATTATTATCCCTTAGATGCCTATTTGTTTTCTAGTGAGAGACAGAAAGGGTGTGGACCCAGATGGGAAGGGAGGGGGGAAAGAATTGGGAGGAGTAGGGGGAAGGGAAAACCATAATCACAAGATACTATATGAAAAAAATTATTTTCAATTAAAAAAAGAGGAGGTAGGAATTTAAAAGAAGGAAAAACGATGTTCTTGGGGCTGGGGGCATGGCTCAGTGGGTACAGTGCTTGCTGCACAAGCAGGAGGACCCAAGTTCAAATCCCAGCACCCACATAAAGATGGGGCATGATAGCATACATCCACTCTGGGTAGCAGAGACAAGTGTTTCCCAGGAACCCTTAAAAAGATGGGATCCAAGTTCAGCGGGAGACCTTGTCTCAAAAATAAGAAGAGAGCTATAGAGCAGTCGTTCTCAACCTGAGAGTTACAACTCTTTTGGGGGTTGAGCCTAAGACCATCAGAAAACACTGATGTTTACATTACGATTCATAACAGTAACAAAACTGCAGTTATGAAGTAGCGATGAAAATCACTTTATGGTTTGAGGTCACTGTTTTGCTTCTTACATCAAATTTACTTCTGGAGGAAGAGAGACAGCACCTGTGTCAGTGAACTCACTGACCTCTCAAGGAATAGAGAAATAAAAAGGTCAGTCCACCGGGGAGAAAGAAGATGAGTCCTAAAAAGGTGAACCAGATACCTGACTAATGATGGAGTCCAAGAGGACCCTGTGGACTGCAGGAACGACGCCACTTTGTTTTCCATTCATAGGTGCCTAGTGAGAGTCTGTGGCAGGGCAGCGAGGGGTGCACAGTTCAGAAAGCCCTTTGAAGGAGGAAGGGCTTGAGATCATGAGGGAACCGATCAATAAGGCTAGGAGGAGAGGTGCAGGTCACCAACACAGATGCTGGCTCCCTCTTCCCATCAAGTTCTGGAGAGCTTTTCTAAGAGAATGTGGTCTATCTCACTAACGGCACAACGAGAAGTTAGAACTCTAAAGGAGCAGAAGCAAATGGGTGGCGAGCCCATAGCAAAGATTTTGAATTTACGCTGTAAGGAGAAGCAAAAGAAACTGGCTATCCTGGTTTTTTAAAAAAACAAGACAAAACAAAAACAAACAAACAAAAAACCCCACTGTCCAGAAGTAAATTTTATATAAGAAGCAACAGTGAGACCCAGAAATAGTTAGAAAGGTGGCAGGGGAGAGATGAGAGAGTCAAGTAGGTCCCGAAAGCTCCGAAGTTTAGAATACCAAGATCGTTTGAAAAAAACCGGGGAAGAGGCAATCACACCTGGAACTGCAGAAAGGGAGGACCAAAGAACAGAATCAGAAGAAACCATAGGAAAAGAAGGGAAACGGAGAGACGCGGGAGGATATGACCCTCCAGGACGGCAGGCACAGAGAGGAGTGCAGGAAAACAGAGTGAGCACTCTGACAGAAGGTAAGGCACGCCCGCCCGCCCCACCTCCACCTCCCACACTCCTGGAATGAGAATAGAGGAGCCAGCACCTCACTAGGAACCCAGGCTGGGGAAGCACAAACAAGGCGGAGTAATGGGCGGCGGCTTTCAACAGAAGAGAATTGGTTGTCTTCAGAGGCACTTGAGCATCCAACCTCCCAATTAGACAGACAGGGGAACCTGAGAATGCAAGTCCCAAGGGTAAAATCAAAACAGGAATGTCTGGTCCCTCCATCTACAAACAGGTAGGTCTGAGCAGTGGGTTTTTTTTGTTGTTATTGTTTTTTTTTTGTTTTTTGTTTTTGTCTTCTCTGGTTACTGCGTGCTCCTTTGTTGATATGCAAAACAAAGTGGTTTGGGGATACTGTGGTGAAACAAAGCTCACTGAAGCAAACAAAAGACTATTAGAGGATTTAAAGAGATGAAATAATTTTTTCATAATAGAAGGCCAGGTTCACTTTGTTTGTTGTGATTTGGGGACCTGGCTTGGTTTGGCTTTCTCGGTTGTTCCTGTATGTGCAGAAATCAGTCTTCTGGTTTGATAGCATCACACCGTGAGTATCTCTGAACTATTATTACTGTTGTTGTTATCATGACATCATATATGTTGTTGTTGTTATTATTATTATTTAAGGGCATACATATGCCACAACATGTATGTAGAGGTCAGAGGACAATTTGTGGAGTCAGTTTTCTCCTTCCACCTCTGAGTTCTAGAAATCAAAAGCAGATAATCAAGATTCACGGCAAGCACTTTTTCCCCACTGAGTCATCTTGCCAGTCTCATCCTCTGGATTCCTAACTTAATTTCAAATAATTCCAAGTAAATGTTGAGTTCTCCTATCACTTCCTGAGGGCACCTAGGATAATCCTGTAGACCTGTACCCTTCTAAGAAACACTGATTACATCATACACATTTAAAATTTGTCATCATTAAAAGTTGGTTTGTAAAAATTGAGAAAATTGCTGATATTTTGTGATTCAACCAACAATAACAACAAACTCTGTCGTGGTAATATATAGACATGATTGACCATCAAAACTATCACATACTATCTCTCCAAATAAACTCAAAAAGTTAGTAAAATTTGGAAACAATATTACAAACATGCCAATCTAGATAAGTAACATACAAGAGGAAAAAACACCATATTTATCTGACTTCTGAGTATTGTCACAAATAGAAAATTGAAAAATAGCTATATAACTTTGAAGATAATTTAAATGTCAAAATCCTAATACTATACAAACAGCTAGGTAAACAAACACACATGGACTCAGAAAGAAAATCAACCTTGTGCCTGTCTTGAAAACTATTTGAAAGACCACTCCAGTACACTGAAAATTTATAAATGTTTAAACTCATCAACAAAACTTAGATATAAATATGTCCACATAAAAGCCCGTGATTGGCCGGGCGGTGGTGGGATACCCTGACAAAGATAACATAAAGGAGAAAGGGTTTCTTCCAGTTTGTAGTTTGAGGGGATACAGTCCATGAGAGCAGAGATATTTTGTGATTCAACCAACAATAACAACAAACACTGTCGTGGTAATATATAGTCCTCTAGGTCCTTTCTTTAGTGACTCCAGGTCCTATCAAGTTGAAAACCAACATAAACCATTACATAAACAAGATATCTCTTAATAAATAAAGTTGCCCGGGATCAGAGCTATTAGCAAGCCATAGGAAAGCAGGGCAGTGGTGGCGTACGCTTGTAATCCCAGCACTTGGTAGGCAGAGCTAGGTAAGTCTCTGTGTGTTCAGGGATACAGCCAGTATTGGATACACATGCCTTTAATCTCAATACCAATCATAGAAAACCTGGAGGTCTATACAGACAGGCCGTGACGAGGCGGTCATGTGGTTGGGTTTACAACCAATGAGAAGGCAGAACAGGAACTCTATATAAAGACTTTAACACAGAAAGTAGCTCTGGTTCGGAGAGGTAGGACCACCGCAGGAGGAAGGGTAAGGTTTTAGCTCTTAGCTCTGACCTCTTGGCTTTCTTCTTTGCATTGGTTCTGTGTTTCTTACTTAAAAAGACGGTTGGTTACATCTACAGATATCGATCTTTAAAAATTGGCAAGGAATGAAGGTGTGTTGTACCACTCTTAATGGAGGATACCACTGAGAATGTTTTCCTGGTAAATAAGTTGAAAATCCACCCATGGGCTGGTGAGATGGATTAGTGGATAAAAGCACTTGTGGCCAAAGCTGATAACCTAAGCACAAGCTCCGGGACTCACGTGATAGAACCAGCTCCTGAAAGTCATCCTCTGACCTTCATATGCGTTCTATAGGACTTCTCCCACCATAAACAAACAAATAAGTAAATGTTAAAAGCAAATAAAACCATTAGGAGACTAAAAAAGGAGGGGAAAGGATACAGTTAAATAGAATAATGTTGGAGAACCAGAGACTGGGGGTTTAGAAAAAAGAATAAACTAAAATGATAGACATATGATCGATACATATGAATAGAATAAAGCACCTCAAATAAAATAAAGAAGCATTCGACAAACAAGCAATTCTAAGGGCATACTATTTAAAAGGCATGTATTTGAAGAAAAATGATGGAAAAGGGTTTGGTTAAGAGTAACATAGGTCAGCAAGGCTATGCCAGAAAAAAGCAAACAGAGAATGGGAAGGAAAATATTAAGGGACAAAATGGCACTAACAGCAAGAAAAGTAACTAAATTAGACAAATGTATCATCATCCAAAAAAGGAAAATCCACAGCGAAGATATAAAGACAAAACATGCACTGACATGGTATTCTAAAGCTGCTTAAAAATGCAAGAAGAAATGAACAAGATCATTACAGTAGATTACATATTCCACTGGCACATCAAATAGTCAAAGAGAAATGGGAATATTTTAAAGTTAAATAATGTACCTATAATATTAAAAATTAAAAACACAATAAAAAAACCCAAAATACTGAAAACTAGAAAGTATTCCTCTAGTCTCTATTATCAAAGCAAAATGATACAGATAAAAGAGAATGTGGCAAGCAGCACGGCCCAGCCACCCAACATGTGTACTGTCAGGCCAAAGGCACAGTCGGTGGGAAAATCTACAAACTCAACATTGTATTATGAAACAATAAAGAGTAAAAGTTAATGAGTTAAGCACTGAAATCAGGATATTTGAAAACTCAATATATTAAATAACTGCAAGTGATTTCGTTCGAAATTTTGACAGCCCGACATTGTTAGCTAGGTATCGTGGCACAGACTAACAAGGCAAGTGGCAAAAGGATTACAATTTCAAGGTTATCCTGGGCTACATCAAAAAAAATCTATCTAAAAGAAATACTTTTTTTAGTAGAAAAAAAAATAAAATCCAGTATTAATGAAACTTTCAATTCAGTCCTGTTGCAATATATGCTGTCAGTTTTCTATCACTAAAATAAAATATCTGAATTATTAAGTTATATAAAGGAAAGCATTATTTTTATACAGTCTTGAAAGTTTCAGTCTATGCTCGGTTGGCTTTCTGATTTGAGGGCTGTGGCAAAGTCAGGCATTGTGGTGACATTGTGTGGTGGAGACAACTGTTCATCTACAACAGCCAAAGAGCAAATAGAGAAAGAGGGGACTGAGGCCACAACATCCCCTTTAAGGGCATGCCCCCAGTGACCTAACTTCTTTCTGCCAGCCCCCTACATCTTAAAAGACTCCACCAGTAACCTCCATGTAACACACAGGCATGATAAAGAGAAACAAGGCGCACATGTTTTGGGCCACCAACCAGCTCCCAAATCATAACACAGACACTTATTATGAGTTCTGAATGCTCAGCCTTAGTCTATGTTCATTTCTGGCTAGCTTTTATAACTTAAATGATCCTGTTTCTCTTCACCTATGTTTTGCCTCGGGGCTTTTTACCTTTTCTTTCCTTCTGTATATTTTACTTTCATTGCTTCTTGTGTCTGGCTGGCTGGTGGCTGCCTGGTTGGCCCCTGGTGCCTCCCTCTTTGCCTCCCATGTTCGCTCCTCCTTCTTCTCTTCTCTTCTTCTCCAGCCTACATTTTTCCTCCTATTTACTCTCTCTGCCTGAGAGCCCTGCCAATCCTTTCTCTGCCTAGCTATTAGCCATTCAGCTTTCTATTAGGCCAATTGGGTGCCTTAGGAAGGCAAGGTGAAACAAATGCCACACATCTTTACATAATTAAACACACATCCTTACATCATTGAACAAATGCAGCAGAAACAAATGTAACATACCTTTACACAGCTAAAGTAATATTCCACAACATATGTCTATTGTTTAGCATCCTCCTAGAACTACATAGCAGCTAAAAGGTATGTAGAAACTATAAGCATTAGAAGAGACAAAATTATTTGATTATCAAGATAGAAAACTAGAAGCAACTGAAAACAACATCAAGAACCAGTTAGATCACTTGTTAGGGGGGTACTTTAAACAATAAAATGATTTAAAAGCAATAGTTTTCTTATAGGCTCTAAATGAGCAGAATAATGAAGGAAAACCATTCATAAAAAGAGTAGATGGTGCTGAGATGCCAATGCTGATGCTGAGATGATTATGCTGAGCTATGGATGCTGATGCTGATGCTACTAATGTTGAGATGCTGAGATACTGCTGATGATGATGCTGAGATGCTGATGCTATGGACCTGAAAGTCAAGTTAATAAGAATCTAAAGCACAAGGATAAAGAAAATAGCAAAGTTTTGCTGAACAATAAAGATGTGGATAAATGAAAACATACATTGTTTCAAGATAAAATTACTAATATTGTAGATATCTCCTCTAAATTAATCTATAAAATTAATGAAATTGCATTTAAAATCCTATGAGACAATTTTAAGCTGACAACAACATTGTTGACCTAAAAGATAAATGGTGCAGATTCCAGAATAGCAATACAGAATTGACTCAGGAGACATCAACACTTCGCAAACATTTGAGGTGTGCATACAGCTCTAAGTTACATGGAAAGATGGTCACAAAGTGTTAGATTAATTTTAAAAATTGCAAAACTATGTTTAAGTCCAGTTGGGTATATTAAATATATAAATAGAAAAATTGAAGTTATATACAAAAATACCAAATTTTCTCTAAAAGGTTATAGACTTGAGTTCTTTTTAAGTGTTGCTTATATGGTTTTGTCTAATTCTTCTACAATGAGTATGTGTTATTTTGTGATTTAAACAAAAAAACATGGGCATATTTCCTAACCATGAACACTGTGGACTTAACTCCCTTCAGTCTTTGTAAGTCCATTCAGAAGCCACCACACTTTGTCCTAGCTCCTAGAATAATGACTGTCATGATTTTGTTATTAGTGTGTAACAGCATCCTTTTATTTATCTTGAAACTCCGTTCAGTATGCTTCCCTTGCTCTTATTTTTCTGAGTTGCTACTCAATTCATTCCCTGCATGGTAAAAAGTTTAGCACACCCCACTCTGCCTTTATCATCCCAGGTTTAGAGCACTGAGCAGTCAGCCGATCTTTATCAAGAAGCTGTTGTTTGTTCCATCTCTACTTTTCACAGTGTCGTTAAAATGACCACATGGCCAGAATTGAGTGGTATACTCCCACGTTATTTTCCCCCTCGCTTCTAGTATGTAAGAATTATTCCCTCAAGTGGAAAAAAACATCCACAGTGTTAGTTATAAGCACATTTACTGAGTCAACTATGTCTGTAGATTACTTTTATGCTATCCATTGGGAAAGCGGTCTCTCTCCATCAGGTCAATTCCTATGACAATATCTACAAAGCTGCAGATTTTACCTCCCAAATATACATAGATTTGACTAGAGTGCAGATTGATCTGTATCCAAATCCACAAGGAAGACCTTCTGTGATCAATAATGTTATCCTCTGGTCATTTTTCTTGCTGCCAAAGCATCATGGTAAAGGGAGGAAAGGTCCCAGCTCGGCCTATATAAACTGTTAGTTTTAAGCTCTTTCCATATTACTTTCTGTATACACATACACACACACACACACACACACACACACACACACACACACACACACACACACATCTTAAATGATCTAATAAGATATGCAGCATTACCAGGAGGAAATGGGAAATCTGCTGTTTGTGTCTAGGTAAAGGAGCCCAGAATGAGGAAGAGAAAAGACAGACATGTGGGGAGCATGGGAAATGGATTGCAAGGACACAACTCATCAGCTAACCGAGCAGTCAAAACCGTTCCTGTGTGGAGAAGGTAACTGTTCATCTGTGGCTCTCATTCTGAGTCCACCTACCCAGACCACTTATGTGTTCATTCTGGCACGTGCCACTTACTGTCACACAAGAAAGGAATACTGATATTTCACTTCTCCCTCCCTTTCTTCCCATCTCAAACTGCCATAGGCTCACAATATAGCTGTATTCCTCTCCACTACATCTTACACATCAGTGTCAGAATAAGATGCTTCAGGGAAGCTTTCATTATCACTTTTCTGTTTCTAAAATACATGCCTTTTGGAACACAGTATAGATCCCATCCTAGGGAATGTGAGGTCCCTTCCAAACTGCTTAACCGTACACACATTGCCACAGCTAAGTTCTCCCCACCTCATGGACACCCGTCATACTCCATCTTTGATGAGCATCTCTTCAATGCAGTCTTTGACATCCCACCTCCACCTGTCTAAATATCAACCACCCTTTCCCACCCTCCTCAATCCTTAACCTCTTTCTCTTTCTCTGTCTAGTATACGAATCAAAATCCCTTAGCACACTAATAAAATACAAACATTTACAGAGCATTGCTAAATGTTGGATAGGGTAACAAGTGCTTGTTTTAATTAGAGATTCTTTAGTTGTGGGAAACAGAAACTTCCTGGGATGCAATAAGAGGGCTCTATTATTGCAACTCAAGGAAACTAGGGAAAGATATAACAAGCTTCAAGGAAGAGTGGTTATAATCCCCCTCTCTCTTCCCTCCCAGCCCTCTCTTTAGCCCCTCCTGCTCTTAGCTCTCAGTTCTTTCAACTTCTTCCTGATGGTTGGGTGGTAGAGGGAAAACAGTTGTACAGAATTTCCCATACCCACACCCACCAGCCACTATGAAACCACAGTACTCAACTTCTATTCCATGGCATTCAGTAAATATTGTTTAGATGTGCCAATTATCTCATTTTAATAATTATTGACTGAGAGGAAAAGCAGATCATTCATACTACATCAATAGACTCTATTTAAGAAATACTAAAACACTGTTGATGGGGGAAATAACAACACTTCTATTAGATCATCAAGGAAGAATAAAGTCCTTCATTTGATTATTGTTAGGGAGATTTCAATTATAAAATATATCCTTATGTTTTAGAGATAATAGAATATAATACAATATAATTCTCAACAAGATATCATATACAGAAAATAAATAAATTATAGAATTACCTTTGTACAACAGCTAAAAAGGAGTCTAAGATCCAAAAAGGAAACAGTTTAAACTGCTTTCCAGCGTACCAGTGAGAATGCCCAGCAATAATTTGAGATTGCCAAAATTCTTAATTTTTGCCTATCACATGAGATGAAGAGAACATATAGTCAATTATTTTTGTGAAGTTTAAAAAAAGAAGAACACTCAACAAAAGTTGTTTGTGTTTATTTATATATATTTATAGATTATGTTATTTCAGATAATGTGTTTGGTTGACTTATTCTCACCCATAACACTGAAACAATGAAGTCTTACAGTTTCATCATTAAAAAAAAAAAACAAATAGCATCCTTTTATAGCTCCATATAGAAAAAAAAACCCTGAGGGAAGAATTGGCCTGATGAAATCCTGAGTCCACCCCTGTACCAATTGCTGTGATCAGAGGTAATAAACACAATTTTCAGTCTATCTGTGTCCAGCTCTGTGACCAGAGGGATAGAATGTTTCTATAAAGCATGGGGTGCCATCAATGGGTATGACAAGGTCAGATGGCAAAACATTGGGGAGTATTAATGGCCCTGAAAATAAGAAGTGGTAGACCTGGTATTCAATCCCAGATCTTCAAGATCCCAAAGCCTAGCCACTAACCACTTCAATTCTAGCTCCTATTGGATTATCATACTGTAATTTTTCTTAATTGTCATGTCATGATTTCCTTGAAGGCTGAGACCCTACTGTGTTTATCTGTATCCCTCTAGCTCCTTGAAAAACTACCGGGCACTTTTGAGATGTTCTGTATAATGAGGTCTCCATTTATAGATTGCATATTTAAACATAGTCTTACACCAACATGGATGTGGCCACATCTGAGACCAGCTGTGTAGGTCTTGTGCTCACAAGAGAACAGATGGAGATTTGGAGGGTGGGAAGAGTGGAACTGTTTAATTTCAAGAACATTTTAGCACCATAAAAGTTAGAAGAGAAACAGCAACACTAGAAATTTCATTTTGTTTTTTTATATGTAAGTATATTGTATTTATAACATTTCTACCCTCCTCTCTGTACTCCGACCAACTCTTCCTGTGTCCCTATATACACATCCCAGTCTGAAATTCATGACCTTTTGTAAAATAATTATTGTTTACATACACATGTACACAAACACAAGAGCTGAGTCTAGTTAGCATTGCCCATACATACACGGGTTTAGGGCTGACCACCCAGGCTTATGTAACCTACCATGGAGCTTTTCTCTGAAAAAGAGTTGATTCTCTCTCCCTTAGTAGCTATTGGCTGACTGCAGCTAGATCTTCAGCTAGGGGTGGGGCCTTGTGAATGGCTCTCTTGTCCATATTGGCATGTTAATCGGTGTGGTCTTGTGCAGGGATTCATGTTATTCAGAGTTCACAGGTACAACATCTCCGTCTGTTCAGAGTACCCTCACAGCCGTCCTTTCTGTCCTCTCTTCCAAAATGTCCCCTGAACCATAGGTGCAGAAGTTGTATTATATATGTCCTATTGGGGACTAGGCACTCCTTAGTCACTTACTCTCTGCATCTTAACCAATTGTGCTTCTCTGTAGCAGTCTTTGTCTTACGGAAAAAGAAGTTTCTTTAACTAGGGGTGAGAGTTGGCCTTCTCTACGGGTATAAGGATAATATCCACATAGGTAGAAAACTGTATTTTATTTGTGTAGAAAACTATAATTTAACACAATGATAGCAGTAGGATATATTAGGGTTTTTTTCTAATTGCTGTGACAAAACACAACTTTATAAAAGTTATTATTATAACTATAATAAACTATATTATTATAACTATAATAAAAGTTATAAAGGGTCAAGGCAACTTTATAAAAGAAAGTGACTGACAGTTTCAAAATTAAGTGTCCATGATGGCAGAGCAAAGGCACAGTGAGTGGCAGGGGGTGCCAAGAATGCACATCTTAATCTGCAAGCAAGAGGCTGAGAGCACACTAGGAATGCTGTGAATCTTTTGAAACGCCAAAGTTGCCCCCAATGCCACACCTCCTCCAACAAGGCCACACCTCCTAATCCTTCCCAAGTAGTTCCACCAACTGGGGACCAAGCATTAGAATGTATTAGCCTATGGGGTCCATTCTCATTCAAACTGCTACATAGGTCCTCCTCTAGGGTCCATGACCACTCTGGCTACAAGCTTTTGGCTAGGTTTATAGTTCTAGGCATGAGTTCCCTCCTAATGAATGGGCCTTAAGCCCAATCAGAAAGCTGTTGGTTACCCCTATGATATGAGTGTCGCTATTGAACCATTGGAGATATCTTGCCTGGCTGGTCATTATTGTAGTTTGCAGGATTTATAACTAGATAGGTTTATTGATAACTTTTTTGCATTGGCAGCTTACATAGCACCACTGTGAGAGCTATTTGTCAGTTCTCAGGAAGGAAGCTTTCAGGTCACTACTAGTTTGATTTCCCCCAAGTCCTGTGTCAAAACTACATTATGTCCTTAGCAATGAGGTCCTGCTGCCTCAAACTCTGACGGACACATGAGAGCAATGACAACAGCCTGAAATACTAGAAATTTTATATGCAAAGTAAAGCTGCCTGATGATCAGAAGTAAGCACAGTCATAGGAAGCAATAGCTGGTCGATGTCTTAACTGAGAAAATTATGTCCATTCAAGTTTATTATTTCTATCATACTTCCTGGTAAATTCTGTGGACAGAAACAGAATATAGTTGGGGGAAAAAAAAACACCTTTTCCTTGTCTGTATCATTTTAGTTATCTTAAAGGAAAATGTATCCATAGGATCATGGTAAATTTTGAAATAAATTATCACTGCCTAAATACATGTTCTAAGTGACTTAACCATTTTCGTCTCTCTGTAGGTTCCCCAGGCATGATATAAAGGTACTTCTCAAAAAATGTTCTGGATCTTATTTTCATCTGGGTCATGTTGTTTCCAGAACCACATCTTTTCCTAGAATTTGTCTTTTAACATTCCTTTCAGATGCTTAAAATACATTTTTAAAAATTCTGTATAAAAGGCAATCTTCTCATTTTTCACTCACTATTCATCCTGTCTTGTTTTGGAATGTTTCCAGTCTCCTGGTGCCACTCGATACACATATTTAAGCTGTTTGTGTTCATTTTAGTATCTCAACCCTTTGTTCTCCCTTCTTTTGACACACACACACACACACACACACACACACACACACATTCATTTTAAATGGTTTGCTATTATGTTGCTTCCTGACTTGATTGGCTCTTAAGATGAGCACAGTCTGTTAATTTAGAATTGTATTCTGTTTGTTAAAACTGCTTCTAATTTTGCTGAAGCAGCTGTAATTAATTTATTTTAAAACATGTTCTTTCTTGACCTCTGTCCACTTCTCTGTATTAGTCAATCTGGTATCCCGAAAACCATCACACTCTTATCCAAATTATGCCTTGTTCCAAATTTTAACCTGTTTTTTGTTGTTGTTGTTGTTGTTGTTCCTTCCTAGGAGATTCACAAACCAGTTATCGATCCACAGACTTTTTCACCCAAAGCCATAACATTGGTGTTTAGTCTGGTAATTTTGAAATGAGCTTTATCCCGAATTTAGTAGGAAAGGGACAACAGTTCTAGAGAAATTGAAAATAATCACTGTTTCAGTCATGGAAGCTTATACTCCTCACCGGCTGTGCACAGTCTTATGTACAGAGCCAGGCTCTCTGGTCCCTCTGTGCTACACCATCGTTTTGCCTATATTTACTTGTTCACACTGTAGGCTCAAATTAGGCCCAGAAAACCCTAACAGACAATCCTGACTCAAGGATTCTGGTCCCATCCTAATCCTTTTCCT